TCTCTCTCTCTCTCTCTCTCTCTCTCTCTCTCTCTCTCTCTCTCTCTCTCTCTCTCTCCTGATATCTTTTGATTTCTCTCACCTCTCTTTTTCTTTCCGACAAAAGACAAAGTGCTCTAGCCATAATTCATGATCTGTGTACAGATACATTGACGTTATGGCGATGTACAAACTGAACAAGCTCCACCTACATCTCACTGACGACGAGGGCTGGAGGATTGACATACCTGGTCTTGAGGAGCTCACCCAGGTAATGAGAAAATGGTTTAATGTGCTTGCTATGGTTGTCGCTGCAGAGACTCGAACCCCCCGAATCCGCAATATCACGATGACGAGCCTGTTTGCCAACCCACTAGTCAACTGACGTCAGCCAACTTTAATGAGTAGGCTTACCCCCCCCCCCCCCCCCCCCACCCCCCAAAAAAATAAAATAAAACCCCACTTTTCTCCTGAGTTGCTGTAACCCGCCCAACCCAGGTTGGTCCTGTTAATATATAGATTCGAAGTAGATCTAGTCCGGAATGATATAAACTACATCTACAACAAAGGAAAGGTGTTTTCATTATTGCTTGGGTGCGTTCATCGCTCAAATGCCCGTAATGCCATCGGTTGTGGTGTTATAGTTATAATACTGAGTGCCCATTGGGGCACCTGGTCAGATCGGGGCGGTTTGCTAGCCAGATTGAGGGCCCAACGAAGCTATTGTGGCTCAAACCGATCGCTCCCGACTGGTCGCCTAAAAAATAAACGCGTTTGTTTTCAGGCGATGAGTCGAGCGATCGACCCGACCCGATCAGATCCCATTCGCAATGGGCATCCCGTATTAATCTTGCAGGCGTAAGACATGTGTTCAGTTCCCAATTGGAGAGGATAATAATTAAGTCTTTTATCGTTATCTTTCAGCTAGGGTTATTCTCACACAGATCATGTTGAGTTTGACAGGGAGATGTGGGAGTAGCAGTCGGCCTCGTTCTTGGTGTAGATTGTTTCAGTAAAGTGGAACGTTTCATCAACAACAAGTTTGTTAATTTTCATGGAAGCATCACGTTCTCAACGTTCGTCTGGTCTTTTTCTCTTCTTTTCATACATTTTCTTTTTCTTTTTTTTTAAAGCTTTTCTTTGTTTTCTTATTTTCTTTTACAAAATGTTTTCCCTCGTCCCCAGGTTGGAGCCAAAAGATGCCACGACGTTACAGAGACTCGATGTCTCTTACCTTTCTTGGGCACAGGGCCGTACTCCGGCCCACCTGGCTCCGGCTTTTACACAGTGGAGGACTACAGGTGTGGGACTAAATGCGTGTCATCGTGACGAAATCAGGCACTCACCTAAATAATGAAATCGAAGAAACGGGCATTTTTCTGGTTGTTAGAAAATTTTTATATACTTTTTCTTTTGCTCAGTGCCTTTTATTTTGAGTTTTTAAAGAATCTTTCTGTGCAGCTTGTATTGAAAAACGTTGATCAATGGCACAAAAAATAAAATTACAGTTTCCATGGATACTCAAGCTTTAGAAGTCACTAAACATTGGTGAATCACGCTGATTTTTTACCTCTAACACAAGGTGACCCACCCCCCACCACTTTCAATCACAAGTATCTCGACTTCTATTCTAGTCAGATAGGCACGTTTTCATCAAAAGCAAGACAAAATATATATAATAAATTATAAGTTTTAAGATGACACCAAAAACTCCTAACGCTCAAAACTTGACGGGTGTCTGATTCTAGCATGCTGCGATCAAACTGATACGAGACGAGAAGAAATTAGTTGAGATCAGATAGATCGTGTGTCGCGGGAGGGCAAAGGTAAAATTAGCCTAGGGCTATATCAGAAGATGGGAAGAGATGTTTTGGGGTCCTCGATATAGAAAGCTGTGAGATAAGATGGAAAGAGATGATAGCCCACAAGTCTGTTGGTTATGCAGTTGAAAAAAAAACAACTACCAGTCTTCAATAAAAACCTAACTAAAACCATCCCCGCATACGGACTACAACAGGTGGGGGCAGATAATAAACTAAACTCACCTTGTTTTACTAACCAAAGTTGCGAGTGAATTAGAAACATGTACCTGAAAAACTGTCAACAGTGTCTAATTTGGTTTACCACAACATACCTACATTTGTGTACATTGTAGTTATCTTCTCAGACCCGCTTGCCCTTCGTGGAAACATTGTGTGTGTGTGTGTGTGTGTGTGTGTGTGTGTGTGTGTGTGTGTGTGCTAA